ATCCTCCTGAATGGCTCCAAAAAGGAGGATCCATCGATATTAAGGGGGAAATTAAGTGAAGGAGCACAGTGATTAGTTTGGGTAGAGGTTGTCCCCTCATGTATAAGGAGACTTCAGGGCCTGTAACTGTCTTGAGTTGGCTTGCTATTTATACTGTTTCTGGGTAATAGTAAAAATCATCCCACTTTCTCCCCAAATTGGATATTACTTAAATATGAACGAAAATAATATTTCTAGTTCAATCTTCACTGTCTCTGGGTGTCACTAAGTTGCGGCTCCTACTACCTTAGAGGCCCGTCCGTTCCTGCAGCAGCTAGTTCTCACCTAAAGTTCTTTTCAGTGTTGTGTGGTCTTTCGGCTTTAACAGCAGGAATAGTTGCGTTCCGTGCTTTGGAACGATTCTAGGTTAAGCCCAGAATTTAATTTGAAATTCTCTGAAGCATGAGAACAGAGACAAAACTTAGTGCCCGCTGGGCACGCGCTACTGATTACCTGTAGTATTTCACAATGGCTGTCACTTTTTGGGTGAGAAAGGCCCAGTTTTCTGAAACCCCTCAATGGCTGTTGCTCTGGGATCGGAGGGAAGTAGGGAACTCCCTGGGCAGATGTGCGTAAGTGCGTTGCACCCGTGTAGCGCTTCTCTCGCTCAGGCGTGCTGCCTGCTGCAGCCAGGGGCTGCTTTCGAGAGGACGCTGTGAGCTGTCCTTGTGTGGACATGCGAGCAAGTAGCCGTAAAGCCTACAGCCCTGCTCCTTCAGAGCAAATGGCCTTTACCCCTCAGTCTCTTAAGAATTAACGGAGCGCTTGAGAACCGGGTATAAAATAAACATCTGTGAAGAAAATACCAAGAAACCGTGGAATTCGTAATTCCCATGAAATACAGACTTCTAAAGCTACAATACATTTTAGAATCTGGGTTGGAAGACCTAGCAGGTCTTTTTTTTTTTTTTTTTTAAGCAGATTCCTAGGATGTGGAGAATATGTAAAGGATTTCCATAAATGATAAAGTATAGAAACGTGTGTTTACATAGAAAACACACACATATCCGTTACCTGAAATACAAGGTTACCAGGAAAAAAAAATTCTTTTTTGAATTAATGGTAAATTGGTTCATCCAAGTTCGCAGTTTACTTTCACAACATAGGTGTGCAGACAGTTTGTTTGGATGTTTAATTTTTCCCCCCATCTGTTCTGTCTGGATTATTGATTGAGCAGCAAGCCACTCCGGGGCATGCATCCCCTCCTTATAATTGCTTGCCTTGGGTGCATTGTGTGGCCTGGCGGCCAAGCCGAGAGAGGTGTTCCTTCAACCTTCCAGTAAATCCCAGTTGGTAAGAGAATGCTGGAGTGAATATGGTTTTTGAAAGTGCCCATTCGCCAAATAAATATTTACATTGGGAACTTTAACTGATGATACCATTTTAAAATTCATAGTTTATTATTTAATATCATCCTTGAAATTAGTAACCATTCAAGAGCTACTCATGCTGATTTTTATTTAACTCCCCTGGCTCTTTTATAAACAGAAGCATCTACATCAACTATTACCAAATATTAACCAAATGTTACCAGAATATTTAATGGTAATGGATACCTGCTGTGACCTCCTTGAAACCGGTTTTATTATATCAGAAAGTGAAGCACTCTCTGGCTCCTGGTTGAAAAATGGAAACTAAGCCTTGTTTCCCAGTATTTGTGTTCTGTTTGGATATTGAGCTACTGTGACCTCCTATCATTGTTGAGTATTTACGTTACTTCTGGTGTTCCAGATCACCTCCTGTCCTTTATGTCTCTCTTTTGCATTAAATGTAGTTACAAAGTAAAGCTACATCTGTGGTGACAGAGACAATAGGGCGCAAAGGAAATACCAAATGTCTGCATTCGTATTGAAACCTTGAGTTCAGTTGTTGTAAACGTTAGTAATGGTGATCTTGTGGAAAAGAGACACATTCTTTAATCCTTCAGAAGTCTTTCAGTGGATTATTTCTCTAGGAGCAGATTTTGATCTGCATTTATATCCAAATTATATGATAAGGCGGGTGGTAATGGAGTTGAAATGCACTTTGCCATGTTGTGCCTCTGCGTTAACCAATGATCGATCGCACCTTTTGGATCAGCCCTCCTGATAACCAGCAAGTAAATTAGCCTTTTTCTAGGGAAAAAAAAAAAAAGTCACCAGAGGTAGTCAGAAGGAATTGCAACTCTTAGGTTAAGGAATGTAAATTTTGTATGTTACTGTAATTTGGGGGAAAATATGTGCTTTGAGTAAGGGAGGAAAATTATCTTTAGAAAATAATATAAAAGAGGCTGTGGATTTTAATTTCACTGTGGAATTTCTAGAGCCTTTGGAAGTATTGTGTTTTGAAATAATTTAGATTTAGGGAGAGAGAAGGGATATTGTCTGAATAGTGGCAACATGTTTTATATTCTGTATCCACATATAAAATATTATAATCACTTTTCTTTTTATTTTTTGTATATTTCATCTTCCAGCTGTTTGGAGGTGGGAGTTGAACAGAAATCTTTCTTTTTAATTGAGAACAAAGACTCTTAGATTAAGAGGGCTGGCTGGGTTTTTAGGGTTTTTTTTCTCCTCAACATTGCTGGACTTCAGGTGTCGAAAAGATACAATATATCAAATCAGATTCGTTCGGTTCAAAGTAATACAGCAAACAGTTCTAATTGCAGTGTATCTATGTATTCATTAAAGGGCATATGTTCAGAAGCAAAACCACTTATTTTGAGAATCAGTGTTCATTTTACAAAGCGAAATAAAAAATATTTTTTATTTTATCAAACATATTTTTACAATGCAGTTTTATTTTTCAGTTGCTTATTTCTTTTCAAAAATAAAAAACCCTTTTTTTATGTACTCACTTTCCCTTCTGGCTGCAAACCAGGTATTTAAACAAAAATAAAGGATTGCCAGTTTTACCAGCTGGGGATGAGAACCCGGCTGGTGAAATGTGGGTTCGGGAAGCAGTTAATCCAGCTTTTATGCTTTTTATGGTTTTATGAAAAAAGAGGTTAAAAACCGCATTTGGCTCTTTTTCGTGCGTGCCACTGTTTTGTTGGTGGTGTAGGAATTGAGTAAAAGGTTACTTAGATTTTAAAATTGTCATTAGGTGAAATCCTGGATCTATCAGATTCAGGCCCACAAACAGTCCATTCTACTAATTGGACAGGAGTTAGATTCTTGAACAATCAAAAGTCACTGGTATTTAAAAATCATACGTACGGCGTTTTCTTTCACTGAAGTAATAAGTACACAAGCCGAATTCTTTTTGCTTCTTTAGGTTATTTCTTGTTTTCTGTGTGTTCTTACATTACTCATTTCGAACAAGTAGAAATCTGAAATATTTTTAGCCAAAGACGAAAACTAGAATTTGTTGTTCTTCCCCAAAATATTTTGCTTAGTTTGTTACTCTACAAGAGGTTTTTTGAAAAAACATAGGAACTGGACTTGTGTTCATATCTTGCTAATGCAGTTCCTATGTCGTCTTGGGACTGGATACAACCGAAGTAAAAATCTTCTCATAACATTTGAAAAAAACTGCTGAAATAATCTTTAAGTAACATAGTTTTTTCTCAAAATTACATTCTCCATGCATATAAATACCCTGTCTACCAAGTGCCTTTCATAGCACTGATAGGTAATCATAGTCTGTCAAACATACCATGTCAATTCTATGAAATTATTGGTAAATTTTAAATAAAAGTCACATAGGAGTAATCTTCAACAACTTATTAACTCAAACTAAGAAAGTTTGGAACATGTGCACCACTTTTTTCTGTATCAAATTCTTATGTAATCAGTTATAAGATTTTTTTAATTGGTTTTCTTTATTTATCCCAAAGCTAAGAGAATCAGATAAAGTAGGCTTTAAGATTATTCAGATATAGTAATTTAAAATAAAATACTGAAAGATCCTGGGGCACCTGGGTGGCTCAGTTAGTTAAGCATCTGCCTTTGCCTCGGGTTGTGATCTCAGGGTCCTGGGATCGAGTCCTGCGTCAGGCTCCACACGCAGCTGGGAGTCTGCTTTTGAGATTCTCTCTCCTTCTGCCCCAACCCCTGCTTGTGCTCTCTTTGTCTCTCTGTCTCTCAAATAAATAAAATCTTTAAAAAAATACTGGAAGATCCAAATAAGTGAAGAAAATTGTGTTGGATGAGGAACATACCTAATAAAAAGGTACACATCAACATTTTCCTGAGACAAATGCTGAATTATTATGCCCCGATTTGAATAGGTGGCTCTAACATAGCCTAACTGATACTGTCCTATCCTGTCTTTCAAAATTTATTTTGCACGGAATGTATTTTGGGAAATAAATTTAAGGGCATATACCAGAGAGATACTGTGCTGTGATTTTTGGTGTTTGTGTTTAACAGAAATTTTATTGTGAGGTACTAAAGCTTTGGACACACCCCAAACAGTAAATCTTTATATTCACTTTGTTGACTATTTCCTTAAAGAGTTTAAACATGCAGGGGCCTCCAGAAGTTTCCAGCTTGATTGTCACGCTCGCCGTGCCTTGAACCCGTCTATATGACTGCGTACATGACTTCTGTCCTCACAGTTTGACTCAAGTTCCTTAGTTCTTCTCCACGGTTCCTTATGCTCAGTAGCACGACTTCCCTCCAAGTTACTTGAAGTCCACATTAGTGACCAGAGTTAAAAATTAAGTAGGCCTATGAGAAAATGTACAGATACACAAACCATTTTCGCTTGAGCCTTAGTCATCACTCACTTGGAAGGTGCCACGTGGCCCTTTATGGTACACTGGACACTTTGGGACATGGATTGAACATTTCACATATCTGGTGTGATTCCTATCTTTTGTGGGATGCTTACTAGTTTAAATGTCAAGATGTGAGAGTAGCCTACCTAGGCTTTGCAAGTTAGGATTCACTTTGATGTAAGAATTGTACATCTGGTAAAGATTGCTCTAAAAGTTCATGTGTAATAACAAATCTTTTCACTGGTTTCCCTCTTAGGTGTTAGAAGACAACGACTATGGCCGAGCCGTGGATTGGTGGGGCCTGGGGGTCGTCATGTATGAGATGATGTGTGGGAGGCTACCTTTCTACAACCAGGATCATGAGAAACTTTTTGAACTAATACTAATGGAAGACATTAAATTTCCTCGAACACTTTCTTCAGATGCAAAATCATTGCTTTCAGGGCTCTTGATAAAGGATCCAAATAAACGGTAAGCCACAAATAACACTCGATGGGCTACGGACGAGTGTGGGTAGATTGTGAGTGATATGGAGATTAATTCAAATATAACTAACTCCAAGGAGCAGTGTATTTGGTGTAGACATCTTCCCACTGAAAAACTGACTTAATTTTAACTGCATAATACAGAACATTGTAAAAATTTCTTCAACTCTTTCCTGACTTGGAAATCTTATGCAGATTTTACCAAATAAGGATTTTGAGGGTTTTCATATCCATATTGTGAGTGAACAGTTTCTTAATTGCCCTGGTACTTGCTATTGTGGGGATAGAAGTATCCCCCCCTTGTTTTTTCCTTTCAGTCTCTGGGTCTTTATTATTTATGCTAATTTACATAATAAAAAAGATAGACTGGGCTCTGTACTATCCTCCCGTCCCAACCTGTGTTAACAAATCCGAGTCCTTTTTTTGTTTGCCATTTGAAGATAACGCTTTTCCTTGTGTGGCTGAGAGGATTAATGGCAAAATACCTTTACACACTTTGTATTTCTTTTGTAGCTACAACTGTGACCTGAAGAATCCTGCAGCCCTTTGCTTAATTAATCAGTGAGCTGTAGTATTCTTTGTTCATGTTTCTATATTCATCTGCACATACAGTTTGTAAGCCATGTAATAAATGACTATTAATGTAAAAATGTCTCTGAATCTCTTGTTTGTGTATACGTGTACATAGCTAACCTTTCCTGTAGACGTATAGGCGAGCCAGCATTGCTCTAAAAAATCACTTCGATATTAAGTATCTTGAGGATAGATTTCAAGATTTTATTGTCAAATCTTCCCTAATGTGTTTTTGCAAAGTTCTGTTTTGGGTTGCTGCTCGTTATGTATTTGTTGACAGGCTGAATTAATGCAGGAAGGAATAAATGAATCCTAAAATGTGGGTTTTGTTTACCGTAGAGATGGTTTCCACCACACACTTGTAGCTTCTGAATTTATAAGAAGCATGATTTTACCTTCAGCAGAAATATGCAAACATAATAAAAGAGACACCATCCTTTTGCTTCTTGAAGAACCTTTCAGAAATGTGTTTTATGATCCTGGTAATGGGGAGCTTACCTTGGATTTGTAGAGTGATTTCAAGTGTTCTTTTTTAGGGTGTTTGCATATCTGTTTTCCCCTTTGCTGTTTCTGTGGCCTTGTAGAGTTGATAGGTAGATACTATTCTCATTTATATTTGAGTGAGGACAAAAACAAGGCCCAGAGAGGGTTAAGTGATTTATCCTACAGAAAATTCCTGTGGAATAAGAGTAATCAACTTTCTTGGTGCCTACTTGGTATTTCTCCTGTATCTGATTTGCAGTGCACCCACTTCTCAGTTGGTTCAGGTTTTGAAATGTGTTCCATTTTTAGTGTGATTATTTCATAATTAATGTAACAGACAGCACTTGGTGATAGGTGATCTTTAAACAGAGCTAGGATTTCCATTTTATCTACTTGATTTAGGGATCTGATATTTGGCTTGGATTTCAAGGGCAGTGAATTTTTAGCCCATCCTTTCATGACTCCTCCAGGTAGCTCTGACAGCCCTTTCCCTTATGGCCCCCTCTGTAAGCAGCTGGTAGAACAAACTGGTATTTTGGTTCTCATGTCTGTGTCTCATTCATTTTCCTATCCGCCCTCCCTGGGGCTGAGGGGGGAATAACATGTAGTAGATACTTAATAATTGTTGAGTAAATGTGAGGTAAATTTCTAGAATGTTAGTGGGCTGATGTGTAGGACAACTCCTGAAGGTTTGTCCATCCAGAGTTTGGTATTATCTAAAGGGAAGATAGGGTATTTTCAGTGATTTGCTGTTTTCATTTAAGGTGGATGTGTCAAGCCCCTCCACTGCTGCATTAAAATATCGGGAATGTGAGGATGAGCGAGACAAAGATGCTCTGCTGTCGATGTTCATAGAATAATGCGGGACACAGAACGTGTCTTCACAGTTGCTCAGGTCTACCTACAAGTGCCTGTTAAAATTATTAGCTCTGTCTAGAGGGCCAGAAAGGTTGGAGTCCACCGGGGGGGTGGAGGGTTCATGCAGAGAAATTGACATGGAAAGGAATCTAGAATTGCAAATGAACATGGCATTTGAGAAGTTCAGCGACTAGAGCGTGTGGAGTATGAGTTGGGTAATGTTGGGAGATAAAGCTGAAATGGTAGACCTTATCCTTCTTAGAAAATATTTATCCTTTATTCAGAAGAAGATGAAAAGCCACTGAATTATGAAAAGTAAAAGATGGTGTAATCGGATTTGTGTTATGAAAGGTAGCTCTGGCAGCTTCATCATGGATGCATTAGAACAGGGAAGGGCTAGGGGCAGGTAGGAGAGCCACTGAGAACACATATGGGATTGTCCACAGAAGAGATGGGGTCCTTCCAGAGGCAGTGGTAAAGGAGCAGTCAATCGGACTTTGTGAATAATTGAGTAGAAATAGTGAGGAAGTGGAAGGAGTTGGGGGTGCCTCTGTGGTTTCCAGCTTGGTGACTCCTTTGGAGAATGGGGTGTTATTAACAGACAGGGAGCACAGACAAAGGAGGCTTGTGGGAACGATGCTGATACTCACTTTGACTGAACCGAGTCAGGTCTATAAGAAAACCTAGATGGAAATGTGAAGCCAGCAGCTGAAAATCGTATCAGTGCTTAGTAGACACACAGTGGCTGAATATATGCTTTGGGGCCCCATCGCCGTCTCGGAGGCTGCTGGAGCCATGAGAATAGTGGAGAGAGTCTAGTACAAAGGGAAGAAGGCCTAGGACAGAATCCTGAGAAACATCAGAATTTAAGAGGTAGAAAGAAAGAGAAAGAGCCACTCAAGGATCCTGAAAAGTCTTTGGAAACATAAGATAACATTACGATAGACCTCATTATTCTTCCTATTCAACAATTTTAAATACTGATGAATTTTTCTGATACTCTTTACTGAATTTCTGTCAGTTCTATCAAAGGGTCAACTGCCATTTTGCCTTTATTTCTTATTCTCCATCACTTTATGCTCATTCTATTAGCATCTCCTCTATCCTCCTATGCACAGTTTCTAAGAAAAGCATGACCTCACACTGCATTCAGTAGCACCAGGAAAATACGCGTTCCACGATGTTCCTACTAATGAAGAATCCATGTAGCTGAGGATTTAGTTTGGCATTCTGATATTGGAGTTTACTATTCTTAGACATAAATATCCTAGTGCAAATCATATTTTGATATTATTTTGAAGTCTTAAATTGTATATTAGGGAGTCATTGACATTGAAATTTTTGACAGTTTCACACTTGGAGAAAGCGCGTGTTAAAGAATCTCTCCCAGCTTCTAAAATGGCAGTCTAAGATTATATTCTTAGACTTCGCATAGTACTCATGGCTGATACTTTAGTTTTTTATGTATTTGACAAATATAGATTAAATGCTGGCAATGTCCAAAGCCAAGCTATTGCTAGAGAACAGAGGGGTGACATAAAATGAATAACTGAAGCTGGATTAAAACCTTCTATTTACAAAATGATGATGGTTCTCTACTCCCAATTCCCACCTCCCCCACCATCTCCTGTGTCATTAAAAATAAAAACAATAGTGTAAGGATAAGAAAGTACAGCAAGCTTCTGAGTTTCCTCATGCAGACTCCTTTGATGCCTACTTTGAGATGTTAAATTCTCTTCAGAAACACGTATTTTGGTGTGTCTGCTTTTCTGGCTCCCTAAGTATGAGCTCAAAATGCTTTTTGGATCATCCAGTCCTGATCTCTGCCCTCAAAAGACTTTGCAGCCCAGCCAGGGAGGGACATACACCACTTGGAGTAGACGAAGAAAGAGCGTGGCCAGGGGGTGGAGTTCTGGCGTTCGCTGAATACAGACCCGCCAGTCAGAAAGCCCTGCCTACAAACACCGCTCCTACCATCTGGTCTAGTCTAGAAGTTCCCTGTCAGCCTTGTGGTTCATTCCGTACAATCTGGGACAGGAGACCTAGACTGTGGGAACCACGGATCATCACCACAGATACTCAGATATTGGCTCCATTCTGACCATGTATCAGGGAATCCTGGATTCTTCCCCAGTCGTGTGTTCCTTATATGTAATAATAACCAGCACCATTAGATTGTATTATCATTTGTTTATTATGACCTGTTTGTTTCTTCTACCCAGTGGTGTGTGGGAGTTGGCATATACCGACTCATAAGAGCCAGTTGTTACGTTTCAAGGATTTTGTGAGCTGGTTGTTTAATACGGTCATAGTTACAAATCAAATTATATGAACTTACAAATCAAATCAGTACATTGAAAACATAGGTAATAAATACTCATAATTCATCACTCTTTAATAATTTTGTTATGTTTTACTCTTCTTGGTGCTTTTGAGGTTGCTTTTATCTGTGGTGTCTGTATAGAAATACTAAAGAACAGTTTGCTTCTGTGCACGTCTTCCCACTTCTGTGTTGATTGACATCAGGTTCCTAACTTGAAATTGGCCATGGGGGCAGTATTTACATCACCAAAATTGGCAAACTTTGTAAGTCAGGGCTTGCTTTATTGTTTTATTGATTGTTTAGATTTAAGAAACTAATAGAGAAGATGTTAATAACACAGATTACATTTTATTTTTATTTCATTTTTTTAGAGAGAGAGCAACAAGGAGGGGCAGAGAGAGAATCTTAAGCAGGCTCCACGCTGGGCGTGGAGCCGGACACAGGGCCCGATCTCACAACCCTGAGATCATGACCTGAGCCAAAATCGAGTCAGACACTTAACCGACTGAGCCACCCAGGCGCCCCCTACAGATTACATTTTAACGTTTGTTCTGTCTTTGTCCATTACGTTGTGAATAGCACACAAAAATGAGGAAGTGTTCTTCCACCATTCGTCAAGGAAATCACTCAAATAACTGACAAGCAAGCGAAGGTCTGATGTGTGTCTTTGTTGTATTACTTTCAAATTAGTCTTCACCATAAACAAAAAGATCAGCCAGTATTCACATTGGAGCTACTCCTAACCCAATTAGTGTGGCTTTCGAGTTCAGCAAAAATTAACAAATGTTTTCTGTGAGCATCACTTGGCTATTTTAGAGTAAAGGGCATTCTGTATTTTATTATTCTTTATGAATTTTGTGCCTCACATCCTTTGTCTGTAAAATTCATAACAAATGTGTATATATAATCTGCATATGTAGTATTACACATGCATCATTTTCCCCTGAGAGCTGGCTGTTAAGTACACCGTTCCTAGCCGTGAACAAGACCAGAGAAAGCTTGCTCTGTCAATCCAGATTTAAACAGATTGCCTTTCCTTTCTTTTCCCTGCTCTTTCCCCATTCTTTCTTTTTTTCTTCCCTTTCACTCTTTCACTCCCCTCTTGCTTCCATCTGGTGTTTTGTTTTTGTTTTTCGTTTTTTTTTGCTTTTCTCATTCCTTCTTCGTAGTGACTAGTATGCACTGTACGAGACTGAGAAAGCTGGAAAATACCTGAATTTCATACTGTGCCAGCTCTCTGTTTAAGTAAGAGTACCTGCAAAGATGGGGGGGCATCTTTAAATTGGTAACATGTATTGGAGCTTGCATAATAAATTAGGTTACAGTAATATTTCGTAGATTAGCAACGTCATTTCTGTGGAAATTAACTTGAGGTATGAAAATAGCCACTGAGTTTCTATCTATTAGCAATACTGTACAAGTTGCTTTTTCTAACTAATTATTTAGTCATTTCAGAATTTATGGTGACAAGGATACAGTTTGAACTGAGTCTTAACCAAAAGAAATTTGGTTTATAGAATTGACTATGGCAGTTGCTACCATTTGTTGTGCTAAGTGCTTACCTCTGTTATTTCTAACCCATGCGGTGATCCACCAGGCTGGTATCATTGTCCCCCGTCTACAGTGGGGACACTGGGACTAAGCAGCTTGTTCCTTGTCACATATCTTTTAAGTTCCAGCGCTCGTTGCCTATTTCGGTTTTGTCCCCAAAGCCTGCACTCTTTTCAGGTACGACATTGTCCTGAGGCTACTTCTTCTTCTTCTTCTTCTTTTTTTTTTTAAGATTTATTTATTTGAGAGAGAGAGTGTGTGAGGGAGGTGTGGGGACAAGGCAGAGGGAGAGGGAGAGAGAATCTCAAGCAGACTCCCAACACGGGGCTCGATCCCTTGACCCTGAGATCGTGACGTGACCTGAGCCAAAATCAAGAGTTGGGTGCTCAACCAACTTCTTATTAATAGCACATTAGGGAAATCAGATCTGACAGCAAAAGCTTTTTATTGGTGCAGCTCTTGATCTCAAGAACTATGTAAACCACGGAGAATTACATTTCATGAACACTTTTTTTGTTTTCTGTTGGGCTTATGTAAATGTCTTAATGCTCTCTCACTCTTCTTTCTGTCTCTTAGCCTTGGCGGGGGCCCAGATGATGCAAAAGAAATTATGAGGCACAGTTTCTTCTCTGGAGTCAACTGGCAAGATGTTTATGATAAAAAGGTAGGTTATTTTCTTGGAACAATCTTTATATATTTTGGCTAAAATGAATTTATGGCCAAAAAAAATTTTTAAGTTCAATGATGTAATGATAGTTTTCATTTTTACTCTACATATAATTGAATATAATATTGAACTTCTTAGCCCCAAAATTTATTGATTCTGACTCCCCAAATGCATCTTGAAATGTTATTCAGTATGGTAATTGATTTTTCTTTTATCACAGTAATGTTGGTTTGCTTCTCATTGTTTCCTTAATATTAAGAGAAAAAATAAAGACCCCAATGTTACGTTATTCTTTAAGAAAACTAGCAAAACAAAATCAGAATGTTTTTCCTTGTCTTTATGTCTTTAATTTTAAAGTGAATTCTACAAATTTATTCATACAAATCTTATTTGAAAAGGAACTAAAAGCACTTTAGTTCTCAATATTTAACAAAGGAATAAATATTTTTCTTATTTGGGGCTTCTCTATAATTTGAAACTGAATTTTAATGCCCACAAAAGGGATGCTACTAATTTTATAACTTTATTTTTATTGTAATCTGCTTATTACTTATTTTTAATACTGTAATTTTTGCTTAGGACAGGAAATCATTGTATCTAGTCCTTCTTTTTAATCTTTGTCTATTTTATTTGTAGTGTCTCAGGCATTGTTAGTACAGGCACTGATTTTGATTTTTTGATTTTCAAACACTTGTGTAAAATTTTTATAAAAATTTTACTATCAAATTTTTATGTAATTCCGTATTTGCTTAGAATCTTTATCTAGTTCTTTTGTGTAGTTAATCCTTCTGTTTCAATTTATTCCAGTTTCCCCCTGAAAGATATATAATCAACAACACTTAGGAAATGTCTATTTTGTGCCAAATATTCTTTTCTATTAATCCCTAAGGTAAAGATAGAATGATACCAAATGACTTACAAGGAAGAAGACAAGTACTGAATTTTTGCATTATGTTATGGGAATAGGGAGTGTGGTGATTTTCTAAGCATTTGTGGTGAAATAGTTGCGTGGTATCAAACACCTCTACTCAAACTTTAGACTTCCACCATGTACAAAGCACTGGGGTAGATGTTGGATCCTTCCTGACCCTTCTGAGAAGCACATGACCATTCTTAAATATTTATTAACTCCATGTAGACAAGTAAACATCCACTTTCTAACACTGATGATGTTCTTTATGGGTTGTATCCCTGTTTAGACCCTAACGGTGGCTATGTACTGTTTTTATCAAATCAGTTCACTACAGAAGACCCTTGTCAAAGAAAAGGATCAAAGTCTTCTTATGTCTCCCAGAAATAATACATGGTCAGAGGTTTTCTTTGGCGTACAAAGCTGTAAGCCACAAACAAATATCCCTTTGCTGTACCCTCACCAAGGAGAACTCAGTAAAAAAAGGGGGCGGGGAGAGAAAGAAGGAAGGAGAGAAAACATTTCTTGAAGAGACAATTGTGAGGCACCGTTGTGTCACTGCTGACTTAAAGAAGAGGCAAAACATGGGCTTTCTTCTGTCCTGTCAGGAGACTAAGATACGCCACAAAGATTTCCTCATCAGGGTTCTGCTCTCCGTGTTAAGTGGGAGTTTGGCGTCAACTGGGGAAAGCTCTGAGAGACACACATCCTGTCTCTGCTCCGTGGGGCTAGACATGCCCAGAGCCAAGGTGACAGCAAGACACCCGCCAGCTCCCTTGAGGTGAATGGGATTGGGGCGGGGGGGGCAGCCAGCAGGAAGAAGGAGCTGCCAAAACATAGCTTTAGGTGATGTATTGTGGAGGCAGGAGTTTAAATTGTTATAATTGATGCCAGTTATTCTGAGCAAGGGTCTTAAGTGTCTTCCATAAAGAAGCACAACCACAAAAATTACAAAGTGTCCATAAACAGAAATCATCGGGACTGAATGCTGCTGCGGGTTTACTCGGGTGGATGTCAGATGAGACGTTGATGTTTCCAGGCGTCTTGCGTGCTTGAGGGATACAAGAGCAGCATGATAGCGGCACCCGCACATTCTGAGTCTGTCTCTGAAAGGCTGTGAACGCGCAATTGGGTCTGTCTAGGTTTGTATCACTAAGGAACAGGGAATTAATTATGGGGATGCTGTAATACTCTTGGGGAGCTTTACTATTTTGTAGATCTATTATTACATAATTATTGGCCACTTTTGTATATATTGTGGCAAAACTAGAGATGAATTCATATAGAGACACTAGTATCTTTAAGGGAAATCTAGATCTCTTCCTAGGTTAAGTAAGAAAAGTGAATTAATCTTAATTGTGAATATCCATGAAGAGCACAAGATTGAAGTGTGGAAATCCATGTCCTAAATTTGCTTCTTCCTTCCTGTGGGGAAATGGACAAGCCATTTTACTCACACAAAATTAGGATCTCTGAAATGCCTTCAAGCTTTAAGATTCTCTGGAGGATGTTTTATAAGAGGAATTTATCTAGATAAATTTCTGTATACACTTTACACTCAGTTCGTCATTTCCTACAAAAATCTGGGATTTTGTGTAATATTGTGTTGAATCTATGGATAATTTTGGGACAGAATAGACCTTTGAACAGGATTGAAGCTTCAGATCCATGAACATCATATACCTCTCCATTTATTTAGGTCTTCTTTAATGTCTCTCCGTAATGTTTCATAATTTTCCATGTTCAAGTCTTATCCGTTTTGTTAGTTTTGTCCTTAAGTATTCATGTCTTCTGATATAAATGGTATTTAAAATTTTACTTTCAGTTTGTTTGCTACCAATATATAGAAATACAGTTGATATTGTATATTTACCTTATGTCCTGCAAACTTGCAAAACTCAGTGTTAGTAGCTTTTTTTTGTAGATTAGTCCATATTCTCTGCATAGGTGATTATATCTTATGTAAATAAAAAGTTTTACTTCATTTTTAATTGGTATGTATTCTTTTTCTTTTTGTTTTTTGCCTCAGCATATTGGCTAGGACCTCATTGTAATGTTGAATAGAAATGAAGGCATGAACATCCTGGTTTTGTTCTTGATCTTATGGAGGAAACATCTTTTATCATTAAACATGATGTTCATTATCACAGATAGTACTGAGATCTTAGTTTTTGAAATATCATTCTTCAATAAAAAGAACCAAAGTTACTTGGAAAAGTAGGTGATTTCAGAGCTGAGGTGAGGAAAATAAAAGATAAGCCCAAGGAATTTTGTAGTGCCAAAAAGTAAAAAAGATAGATAGATGATAGATAGATAGATAGATAGAGGTACATTAATAGGATGCAGGGGCTAACCTTAAATAAGTCCCAGTGGTGAAAGCTGGAACAATTTCAGTAACAAAATAAATATCTGTAAGTCCACACTACAAAAATAACTGATTGAACAAATAAATAAAATGTTGAGAAGGGACATGTCCTCCTTATAGATGAATTACAATTAATAAATGTAGAATGAAGTTTCATAAAGGAAAAAATATGTGTGTGTATATACTTCTTATGCATTATATTGCTGGAAACATATCCAGATACTGGTAACATTGGTTGCCTTAGGAGAGGGAACTAAGTGAATGAGACCTGTGGTGTGTGTTCAGCTTTTCATTACGTGTACTTTTGCAACTTTTGAATTTTCAGCTAAGTGGATATATTATATAGTCATAAGTAGCATTAAAACTTTAAGAAGACAATAAAATTAAAAATATATAAATATTTAAGTAAAGAATCCCCTGAATGTCAGAATAAAATGAAACAAAACAAATAAAACAAAATAAATGTAGAAGGAATGAGGGAACTAGAAAATCGCCATCAGACCCCCAGAGGGGAACTTACTGCATGTAGGATCTACCAATGAATGTTAAAATCGGCGGGCAAAAGTTTAAGAAAGAGAATATTTGCATGGTCTCAATGTATCTCTCCTCAAACATTTATTATTTACAAAGTTTTAAAGAGTAACTTTTCAGTAGAAAAGCCTGGCAGACTGTGTGTTAAGCCAGCTGATCAAGATTAGCATCACCAGTGATAGGACAGACTGCTGTCGTGTAGCCCATGATACGAGGCTGTGGGAAGACTAGATCACTTTTGTGGTATTCTTTCTCAGAATGCATAATCTCAACATAATCATGAGAAAACCTGAAGCACCCAAATGGAGGGGGGGCATTCCTCGAAATAACTGGCCAGGTAGCCCCAAAAGTGTCAACTTCACGAAAGGCAAGTCTTGACCGTGGCACTGGGCAGGCTGGAGGGGACAGAGGGCAAGCTGACCGAAGGCAGCACGGGGTCCCGGACGGGGTCCTGGGACAGCAGAGGGTATAGTGGGAAGGTGGTGAAGTCCAGATAAGGTTGTAGGTAACAGTTTTATACCAGCGTTAATTTCTTAGTTTTGAGCATTGTGCTTTGGTTATATAAGATATTAGCCTTAGGGGCAGGTGTGTAAACAGGATAGGGGAACTTTTTGTACTATTTTTGTAAGTCTTCTCTAAGCCTAAAATTATTTCAAGATAATAAGTTATAAAACTGTGATGTTAGTGTAAGCTTTCTATACCTCCTTTATTAGGTTGAGGAAGTTCCTGTCTGTTCCGAGTATGCTGATAGTTTTTATCCCGAAGAGGTGTTGAATTTCATTAAAAGTTTTTCTGCATTTGTTGTAATGACCCTATGGTTTTTCTCCTTTGTATTCTATTAAGATGGTGAATTACACTGATTGGCTTTCTAATGTTCAATGAACCTTACATTCCTGGGGGAAAACCCACCTATTCCTGATGTCCTTATTATGTATTGCTAGATTTGATACAATGGATTTTTAAAAGATTTTTGCATCTTTAAGTCACGAGTGGTACTGGGGCGTCATCTTCTTTTCCTAAAATGTTTTTGTATGATTTTCATTTCAGAAATATGTTTGATCTTTTAAAATGAAGAGACAAGTTTTTCCTCTTCTTCAATTATATGGGATTGTTCATGTAGAATTTGTATTATCTGTTCCTAAAATCTTTGCTAGAATTTACCAGTGAAGCTACTTGAGCCTGGGGTTTTGT